AATAGTTGTGCATTCATATTCCCCGCAACATCAATGATATCTGAACTCGTAAAACTGCGAAGCAACCTGTTCAGTTCGTGGTAGGTGTTCTTGGAAGCGTCAAAACTGGAACCGATGAGAGCATAAGCGGAAACCATAAACAAGCAGCGTCTAGTACTGCTTAGTAAATTAACTTAGTTGATGTCGTAAAACGGGCTACTCACGGGAGTCCAATCAACCAAAGATGACAATCTTAGAGCTGAGAACGATGCCCACTCCAGCTTCACCAGTGATTTCTGCGTCAGCGTCTCCCGACGCGTGCAACCAATAGCGAGTGAACAAGCCGGGTGCAGTTGATGCAACAATTCCGTGAGGGTAATTGACCCTAGGTTCGGACACAACCCACGTCACTGCCCAGCGTGTTCAAGATTCGTGCGAGTGCAGCCTGCTAACCTCTTTGTCATGGTGTGAACGTTGAATGCCGCCAGGGAAACGGGACAACGTGGTCATATAAGAAACCGTTGCAGATAGGCGTCCGGTGGGTTGTGTGGGAGGGTAGTCGCAGATGATATGACTTTAACGGCATCGAGGCTGCTGTCAATTAAGCTTGGAACTATAGAAGAAAGGTTAGTAATGGGGGTTGGGAAGGGAGTAAGAGAAATATGTGGAAAAGAGGAAGGAGGCAGCAGCAGTATATCCTCGTTTATCCGCCATGCTATATGTAACAAATAAGGTGGCCGTTGATATGCTGTTCGATGGCCGGTACACGAAATAAACACGGTTGTGCGTAGGCTGAGATACTAGAAGGGCGCTTAGGTCTAGACAGGAGAACGATTAGGGTCCTCAACCGAAGCCTTTGGCTCAAAAACCTGTCATCAAGGCAGTGGGAGGTGGCAACGGTTCAGTTTTACAGAAACGGACGCCAACCTATTTCCAATCCAAAAATGAAGGAACAGGAGACTGAGTTTATACGGCTTCCAACCACTGACCAACCTGGAAGGAGTAGACCTCAAGGGGCCCGGGGGCACCACTCATCATCATTATACACGTCAGCTAGAGGTGGGGAACACCTCAGCAACTGTGCCGCAATACATAAAGGAAAAGGAAAATAAATACAACAGTTGCATGCCAGCTGCGATACCAGCAACGGATAGGCATCGTTCCGGAAAGCTAGAAGCCAGATAATAGGCAACAAGAAAAATCATTATGTTGTACGCCAGGAAATGAGATCGAAGATGGAGGGGGAGGATAAAAGGGATGCAGATGGACAAAGAAACTCACAGCACGAACGCAACTGAGGTCGGCTCCCTGCCATGTCAGCAAGTGTATCCAGCCAAACGTGTTCCCCGTTTTTGGACCCCAACCAGGGAGCCGTGACGCTCCAACCGAGGCCAGCTCCGAAGTGAGGGCCTTCATTCCTCTCGACCAAATAATCACTTGGTCACCCCTCCTCTTCTTCCATCCACATCCCCGGTGAGCAAACAACCTACGTCGCGGAAGTCGGTGGGCCGCCTTGCGCAACACGTGGCCGAGTCATCGGAGCCTGGTGCGTGAAATGACGGTGCTGAGCGATTCATTTCCTTTTCCTGTGCCGTAAACAAGGAGTCGAACACGCCCGTTACTCACGCAGTGTTCCCACCAGACGTCAGGCAAACTGCGAAGGCACCGATGGTCGAACGTAACTAGCCTCTTCATGTTCGCCGATCTAGGGGCCAGGTTTCGCAACCGTACACTAAGGTCGAACGTACCGCTGCATTGTACACTCTACCCTTCAGGGCGAGTGTGATGTCGCGCCGGCGCCATAAGTGACGAAGACTAGCAAAAGCGCCTCGAGCTTTTGCTATACGGTTCGTGATCTCGTCTTCGATCCCCATTGCTCTGATACAACTTCCCAGTTAGTTGAATTTCTGAACGACTTCTAGCTGATCTCCACCAAGAGTCAGCGCAGGAGTCGATCCGTGCCAACCTTGGAGGAGAGCTTTGCACTTCAATGATGCGAAGCAAAACCCTAAGTGACGGATAGCCAGTGCTAATCTGTCCAGTGCATCTTGGTACGTCTGGGAGCTGTCACAGATGAGGGCAATGTCGTCTGCATACTCCAACTCAAGAAGTCGTTCTCCTGGGAGTAGCTCCACACCTTCTAAGTCGTGTTCTGTAAATGCAATCTCCATGACTTTGTCGATAGCGAAGTTGATAAGGAATGGTGACAGCAGGCATCCTTGTCTCACACCGCTGGAGATATTGAAGGGTGGCGACTGCTTGCCGTAAGCCCTCACTCTGCCCGTGCTACGCGCGTATAATGCTCGGATAATATTTACATATTTCTCGGGCACACCTTTCCTGAGTAGAAAATTCCAAAGGGCACATCGATCAGTTGAATCGAAGGCACCTTTGATGTCGAGGAACACGACTACGGTGGGCCACCAATATATGTGACAGTGCTCCAACGATTGACGCAAGGTGAAGATGTGGTCGATGTAGCCACGACCCCGACGAAACCCGGCTTGCTCCTCATGGTTCTGGCTTTCACGAGCGCCAATCAGTCTTTGAAGGATTATGGAGGCGATGGAGATCAGACTGATTACTCTATGGTTGCCGCATTTCGAGCGCGAGCCTCCTTTGAAGATGGGAACAATAACGGAGGGGCTTCAGTCGGTTGGGACAGTTTCCTGCTCCCATGGTTTCACTAGTAATTCATGTAAAGCATCAACAAGAGCAGGACCATCGAATTTGAAGAGGGCTGGAGGAAAATCATCTGGTCCCGCGGCTTTGTTCAACTTCAACTGTCTGATCCCACCTTCGACTTCTGAGCGAGAGGGTGGATCCAAAGGGACAGCCCACGGAGCCGGACGATCAATGGCCAACGGAAGAGGTAACAATTCTGATCGATTAAATTGCCTTTCACTCAGCCCAACGCTCCAAGTGTTTTGACAAATTGTGGATAGGCTATCCAGTCTCGTCACGTATAGTTTCACTAACACCAGGTCTCCTGCTTCCCGTTTCCCGTAACGGACGGAAAAGCTTATGATGGTTGCCAAGGGCAGCGACCACTTCCATCTCTGACGCACGATGAGACCACCAAGATTCGCGGTCTCTCTTCAGGCTAGCACGCAGTCTTGCCCGGAGCTCTTTGCGAGTTTCATGGTGCTCGCTTCCAGCCGAAATATGCCGGCGAGCATCGATAAGTTCCAGAGACCGTGAAGAGACCCAATGTTCACGATGGCTATTAAACATACTACATGAGGATTTGCCTACTGCTAGTAACGTCTGGTAAACATGTGACCAGTGACCATCAGTTGTCTCCCGTGAGCGTTTACTCAACTCGCATGTCAGCATACTTCGATACGCATTCAGAATAGCTGGCTTTATCAGTTGGCAGGTGTCAATACGCTCACAACGTTGTCGTGGGCGTCCGCCAAAACGCATCCGCATGTCAGCACATACAAGTGCATGATCGGTGTCCGCACATGTGCTCCAAACCGAGGGACAGTTCTGGATGCAGCCTCTCCAGCGGAACCTGATAGCAATGTGATCGATCCGCGTCCAGAGCTGGTTCGAGGCTGGTGTGCGCCAAGTCACCCTCCGGTGATTGCTGTGTCGGAAATTAGTGCTCGCAAGAAATAAGCGGGCATCTTCACACAAATGAAGTAACCGCTCACCGTTATCGTTACGGGAGCATACACCGTGCGGACGGCGCAGACGCATTTCATCAGTGGATGATTTTCCAACTTGTGCGTTCAGATCGCACGACAGCACAACAGTGTCGATGCTTCTTCTGTGGCGAAGGAGCTCGTTCAATAGGCGATAGAAGTCCTTCTTTACCGAATCATCGCTACAGTTTGCAGGTGCATAGGCAGCGATGATGAATAGACATCTAGTAGTCCCGCGTAACTTCGAAGCTTTGAACGAGCCAGCCAATCGGACCGCACACATCCGGCTACTGATTGGAATCCAATCAACCAGAGCAGCTTCAGCCCGGGGACTTAGGGCAATGCCAACACCAGCTTGGCCGGTGCTCGAAGCTGCATCTTCACAGGATAGACGCAATGATAAAACACTGCTTGCGTCACCTGAAGGGGATCGCAGAGTGAGCACATAGCTCGAGTCTTGCAGGCGGGTCTCTGATAAGCAGCAGATATCGATCGAGAGGGTCTCTAATGTTCGGGGCAAGTGCTGCCTGTTGACCGATCTGTAGTAATGTGCGTACATTGAGGCATGCCAATCTGAAGGAAGATCGAAGGCTCCAAATGGAAGCCGATGAACTAGAATGGACCGCGTGCTTGGACATGGGCTTGTCGACAGGAGAGGAGTGACGCTCCGCGTTCGTATGTGAGTTGAAATTAGAAGATAAACGCCAAGCAAAGCATGTTAGGAGAGGGCTAAGAATCGGGGGGTTGAAAACTGGGGGGATATAAGTGAACTTGGAACGGTACGGTAAGAGTGGAAAAGCGAAAGAGCGGGAATAAGAAGACGGGAAGGCTTGAGCAGTAGCATGCAAACCCCTATCCACCCTGCTCGATGCAGCAGATAGGGCACCGTTGATTATCCTCTGCTGTGGCCAGAGCATCAAAAAATTGTTTGAGGAAAGATTCATTGTATTGCTTTGGCAGGATACTGTCAGGTTGCCTAGGCCTAGACAGGAGAACGATTAGGGTTCTCAGCCAAAGCTTTTGGTTCAAAAACCTTACCGCAAGGCAGCGGGTTTGTCGTTGGGCTACAAGGAGTCCGTTTAAAGGAATAAATTGCCACCCTCATTCCAACTCCCAACCTGGAGAACCAGGAGGCTGAGTTTGTCTGACCTCTAACCATTGACCAATCTGGTATGAGTGACTCTGAAGGTGCAAAAGTACCACCCAGCACAGCTCAATGGATCGCTGAGGCACACAAACCATCGCGCCACGCTAAGGTCCAGTCTCGTCGCAACAGCATTGATAAGAGACACGTGTATGGAAAATGAACGGGAATACGGATGACGAAAGCATATGAAGAGAAACCATGTCATGTCAACCGCTTGTACTTACTCTCTGCGTTAGGATTCGAATCGATGACAAAATCATTACATGTTTTTGTTATCGGTAGGAAATTGGTAATCCACCATGAATCGTAAGAGGTGCGCGTGGATTCAAACAACAAAGTTCGACCGGTGAAGTATGCCAATTGGAGACAATATGCGAGATGGTGCACGTTGCATCCAAAGGCACAGGGGCGGTTTAAACTGACCAAGAGGACGCGTGCCTTGGAACAATCGGAAGGATTCTAGCGTGGAAGAAAAGGAGCGTTAGACAGAGTTGGCTTAAGACATAGTGTAAGGTTTGGCATTTATATAAAAGGATATCACACTGGTTACTTTCAAATGTAGGGTAGATAGATTCGACTAGGAAAAATGATGAGGCTGCCCAGGAAACAAAATGCAACTCATCAGATTGCAATGAAACAAATATAGTTAGCAGCGCAGATGACAGCACAATTCATTAAAACAAGATGGTATGCAAAAAAGGTGAATGGTGAAAGGGCGATGGAGGCTTAGTAAGTGACACCACAAGTAACAGTGGTGCAAGAACAAATAGTTCGGTCATCGAAGTATTCCAGATAGTCTGTTGTGGACAAGTGCAGCCGTGACAAGACAGCATGGTGTGCAGGTCACAGTTTTCACATATCATGGAGGATGATCCCACTTAACACGTCTAAAGGACAGCTTATTTTTAACCACATCTTGATAGGTTGCCGATATTTCGGCATATAAATCGATAATGACGATCGGCATCAGAGCTGATTGAGTCCACGGTTAGACAAGTCCAGTAGTAAACTCAAAAAATTACTCTTCCATATGGTTGTTTTGAGGAAACATAACACAGGAACGTCTACTGGTGGCACTATCAGCTATCACGGTAAATGGGTCTTGGATACTCCAGAGGTCAGCGCAGCTATGCTGCTGGGAAGCCCTCCGAAGACGTGAAAAGTCAAGCTAGGCTTTGAGCAAAATTCGGTGTAGTTCAAAACGAAGATACAGTAAGGTAAAATCCCATACTCACGGTTGCCGTACCGTCGATCGTTCGGTCACGTGCTATGCAATGGCTGTCAGCACGCACCGCCTGGTGATCCCGGGGTCGAGTGCCTGCTATATCTAAATGGTGTTATCATACAAGTTCGAAATAGGTCGTGGAGTGAAGTGTCTTCGGGCAGGGAACAACCAAATCCATCTCCTCACACTATATCCTTCTGTTTCCAAGTTGTTTGGCGGCGTAAACCTGTACATGTTTCTTGTTCTTATCTTCTTCATTGGCTCATGTGAAAGCTCGTTGGTGTTGACTCATACGCGACGCCGTATTAATCGGTGATTATCATTTCACATGAATCCGGTTTCATCAGAATAAGCCATTTCTTACCTTGAATTCATGGTTCTTTAGTTCTGCTCGAGTTTCCATAACCCCTTTTCACCATTGTGCATCGACTACAGGTTCCACTTGCACCCATAGATTTGCACTAATCTGGAAAAGTGATAGCTTTTTCTATCCATGATCGTAGCATCGCATCTGACGAAGCATCCTCTTTCCAAAACGGTTATACAGTACCGTTTGAGGTTGCGATTCTGGTCGGAGAGGGATTTCGAAAGCGTGCGACAAAGCTTTCGTTCTGCAATTGGTTAGACGTTGGACAGAGTCCATTTCTATTTTCAGGAACTGGATGTTTCTACGTTACGGATCTTTATCCAGCTGTTGAGCTTTAAATAGTACTCGCTTCACATCCTTCACTGCTGTCTTTAATTGCTCGTTCGACTGACTGTGGTAAGGCTTAATAGGACTATGCTCAAATTCCCACTGAAAGTTAGGGATCTCTCCGCTGTAAACCCCGGTCCGTTGTCCATAACAACTTCCTCAGGGATTCCAGGTTGAGTAAAATGACAGCGTAGATTGTTGACCACAGCATGAACACTGGTCGTAGGAATGACATCGATCATAAAATCGCCAAAGTAGTTCACCGTGATAAGATAGACCTTTAAGTGTGAACTGATCAACTGCCACTTTCTGCCATAGCTTTTTGGCTCGAAATGTCTCTCGAAGCCTCACCGGTTCATTCGTTTGACAAACGTCACAATCGCGACAGGCTGGGCAGTTCCATACATAGTCTCTTATATGATTAGCCACCCTAGACCAAAGCGTTAATTCGCTGGACTGTGTGATGCAACTGTCCACCCGCAAGGTGTGCACTGTAGACTATCTCCAACATATGCTACAGTCTTGTGAAACAGCAATCGAGTTTCTTCAAATATGAAGCCATTTTCCACGACGAGTTCATAGCGAAAATGAAAGAACGGTGCCAATTCTGCTGGCAAACTCTTCTTATCATCTGGTTAACCTTCAGTGATTAAGCGCCTTAGACATTTGGGAACGGTATGCTTCTTAGTGTAACGCCGCAGTTACCGAAAACGACAGCGAAAGCGAGTTTCTGTGTCGCGTGGACTGTGTATAGGTCACCCTGCGCTCTATTTGAAGCTAGTAAATGGGCTCCCAACAGCACATGTGAGCTCCAGGTTGATGGACGACCACCAAATCATATTTAAGAAATCATATGAGTAACTTATGGAAAGGAACCGGCGCGATATAGAATGACTTTTTGATGATGGACACCAATGTGTTGTGGTTAGTGTAGACAGTAGGCTTTCATCAAAAACTGTAATTCCTAAACCGTCCGATCGCATGCGTAATTACGAGCATCGCTTTTCGATTTGCGTGTAATGGCAGTCGGCTGGTATCGGAGTTGGAATTCAAAAACCTAATGATTTTCTGCTTTGCATTAGCACCGCGCCGATTCCATGCTGACCGCTGTCGCACTGAGTCTCGATAAGTAGAGACGGATCAAAGTAAGCGAATAATGGGGTAGCTGAGATCAAATATATTGCTCTGTTGAAAGTTTTCTTCTGTTTGAAATCTCATTACCAAGCTTCACTCCTGTGTGCTAAATTGCGTATAAACGGCATCACTCCAACTAATCTCGGTAAAAAAAACGGCTGAGGCAGTTAACAGTTGACAGTACCATTTCCCCTTATCCGCTAATTTCCATGGTTTTTGTTGGCTCTATGTCCAGTTGCTAGACTGTTGAGATTGATTGACCGCATCCGGTTTCGGATTTGCCTGTCATTGGGTCCAGCCACAGTACGCCTGCGCCCACAGAGGGCCATGGTTGGCTTGCGCCGCACCACCCACAGCTCCACCCACACACCCCATATCCAGTGTAAACCCGAAGGAATAAGAGCGGGAGGCATGTGGATGGGAGCCACGTTTCATCAACGGAGCCGGCCCACACTCCTTCACAGGGAAGCACAAGAACGCTGTATTTGTGGAATCAAGCACACACAAGGCGGCAGTGCGCTCAAACTGAGTGCATGGAACCACTCTTCGAGCCTAGCACGACCACAAGGACTGTGCACCCCGTCCCCTCCAGCAACGACCAACTGTCTCCTGGAGCCAGTATAGACCAGGTAGTGGGTAATAGACAGGCAGGCACCTTGTCAATATACACATCAAGCGCAGCCACACTGGGGATCTCAAACAACAGCCAATCACTTGAAATGACATTATCAAATAAAATATATCGGTTAAAGAATACGGCTATGCAGACATAAATTTACGCTAAATTAGCATATGAAGTAAGTTGGTTAGCAACGCTCTCGCGACAAGTACAAATTGTCCACAATTTACTCAAAAATGATATAAACGCAATAAGTTAACGAAGATAACCACAATTAGCGTAAGCAAAGTTAATAGATTACTCAGGTAGGCAGAACAAACCAAATAAAGTGGAATGAAATTTATCCAGCTGAAAAAGTCCTAGTTTAAGGATAAGCTGGTTTAGCCCAACTGCGGTGAAGAAGCATCATGAACGCAACACCAGCCTCAGCATGAGGCATGACTGTTGAGATTACATACATACATACATCCTTTTGCATCCCTTGTGCTGCCATGAACTGAATCCAGTTTTAACCCATCGAAGTGTAACATGTGTCTTTCATCACTGCTTCCAGTTTGCGCAGTTCGAAGTTGGCATGTCGCAGGTCGATATTCTTATCGGCGCATCATCGGAGAAGTCGGTGGAACTTACTTTAATGCTATTTTGCAGTGGCGCTGAATATTAGCACGTCGTCTGCAAAGCGATTTGTTCCTGGCAAGTCTTCTAACGATTGCGCTAAACGATTTTAGTATATCTTACTAGAAACCTTCAAACCGAAATTGCCGAATAGTGTGCTTAAAGTCGAAAGATAGCTATATTCATTGTTCCACAAGACATGTCAAAATGCAAAAAGATAAAGCGACCTTTGTGAAATAGCTGGGACTGATAATACCAGCAATATATCGTTCAAGGCCAGTTGACTGTAGTGCTCTCCCAACGGTGTTTAGCGGCTTTCGAGCAGTACACACCCACTGCCACTTGGCGAACTCAGTTTGTTGATACAACAAGCATTGTTATAATGCCGAGTATAAGCAAAAGCTACAACTCCAGACGAAACGTTACGCGCAGACTTACAGATGCCATCCTAGCAGGCATAAACAACAGGCAGGGAAGACGATCAGCGACACATCACCGCAATCGTCAAACATCCACACAAGTCTGTCAAATACGCTGGGATAATGATCGACGATATCCAGGCCACCTGACAAGAGTTTACGAAGCGATCAAGGTTAAAAACGAAGCCAAGCTGCTGACTGGGATTAAAGCCCAGGACAAGTACAAAATCTTTCTGCATGACGACAAACCCGATCCGATTCCTGTTTCCATTGTTCGGATTGATAATCTCCAACATGACGGTGTCATTCGGCCCGAACTGCGAATCGCTCCACATTTTCAGATTAAGTTGTGCTTTGTCGCACTGCAGGATGCTGGCTGCAGTCTCTGTGCCCAATTTAAAACGTACAGGTCATTTCTGAACAACCAGTGTAGCAAAGACACTCCTTACATTTCCTTGATGCAGCAACCTAATGATGGCGAGTTCCTGATCAGCTGGCGAACTGTCACAGCCAACGAATTTATCTTATTCGAGCGACAGCATTAGATAGAGTGGTTCTCCTTCAAGCACTTCATACAGGTTTCTCCATACGCTGAACAACATTTTTTGTTGGGGTACTGTCTGCGGACACAGCACTGTCAGGTTGATTCGCGTGCAGATATTGACATGAAATATGTGGACTGAGCAGATGCGTAAATTTCAGCCATCGCGTCAGAATTCAACAGGCGACAGATCTCGCTGGGTTGCTTTCCTT